TCTATCCTGTTCTGGCAACTATGGCAGAGTTCTTTAGCTCTGCCAGTGAATGCCTTATAGGCATTGCACTCTACCAGTAAGCATCTACTCAAAGACATCCAGCTTTCAAACTCAGTGGAGCTCCAAGCCCAGCTCCACAGACAAGTGCTGGTAAGACTTCTTCCAGGAAGCTTCTTGCCTAAAGGCATTCAGCCCTCTCACTCCAGGGGTCAGTCTTCATCTCTGCACAGATTGCAGGTCTCCTAATTTCGTTGCTGCAGTTTGTCTTCTGTTGCTTCTTGTTTGTGCTTTCTATGGTGCTGCAATTCTCCCTTCTTTCCTTCTCTGCATTCATCAGAATTGCCTTTGTCGTCTGTAATTCCACATATAGACTTGTCAAGGCAGTATTTAGACTCTGTTCATTATCCAGTTCCAAAGCCATGTCCCATATTACAGCTGTTAGGGCAGCTTTCCACTTTCATGGTACCAAATTCTTAGTTATTTAATGCTGCTATAACAGACATACCAGATGTAGATGGCTTTAACAAACAAATTTATTCTTTTATAGTTTAGGAAATTAGAAGTCCAAATACAGGATGCCAGCTGTAGGGGAATGCCTCTCCTCCCAGCCACCGTCAGTTGTGGAGGAAGGTCTTTATTGTTTACTTCAGCATCTGTAGGTTCAGCATTGCCTGGAGACCTCCATATGTCCTGGACTTTTTCATTATTGAGGAGCTGCTTTGTCTTCCACAGGGCCCAAAAACATGTATTCTTGGTGGATATTTCTTGGTAGTGTTAAGCCTCCACCACCCCCTATAGATTAAAAGACATTTTTGGGGTTTTTTGTGTGTGTGTGTGTTTAAAGGAATTTCTGATAATTGAATGTAGGTGGAGAGAGGTATTTAGAGGATCCTGATAATGGCTTAATCTGTAGAGAGTTGCACTGTTTACCTAAAAGTGACACCTCTCTGGCAGTTCAAATTCCCAAGTGACTCAACAGAAAAAAATATAAGCAATCTCCTCCCATGAGATTTATAGCTTCTCAAAAACCCAGGACCATAAACTGTGCGTAGATTTGAACTCAACACCAATGAACTTTGAATATTGTTACCTACGAAAGTGCTTCCTGTAACTGGTACTACTGAATGTTAAGTCCGTTTTAGTTGTTTTAGGGTAATTTGATCAGACAGATTATAATAGTACTTAGAAAAGCTTCCTATCTTTCCTCTTCCTATATCCCATGATGATCCTTTTTCTGATGCTACCTCACATGGTTTTTTGTAGGGTGATCATGCAAAAAGTAATTCATACAAGTAATGCTAGATAATTATGTCCAGAGTGGTTGTTGCTTAAGAATCACCTAAGATAGAGGAAAGATTTCTAAGGAATTAAGAACCCTCCTTGATTTGAGGATGCAATATTATAAGATCCTCTTTAACCCCTCTGTGTGTATATATAGACATACACCCAGGTGATGTTAAATTGAAAAAACAAAACACAAAACTACAGAAAAGTAGATCAATTCTAAAAATGCTGCTGAAGAACAAATAGTGAAGAATTGTGTGAGAAATACTGGATCACATTTATTAAATAAGTGACAACAAATTATTTAAACTTTTGTATACTAGCTGGAAAACATGGACTTGGTGACAGAAATGAAGCACTGGAGATAGAATGATCGAGTTTTACACAATCAATGACTTATTCATTGCAAATACGTTTTTTAAGAGACATAAAGGCAGGTTATACACATGGATTTCACCTGATGGTATGCATAGGAATCAGATCGATTACATCTGTGGAAATAACCGCTGGAGAAGCTCACTATCAGTTGTGAAAACTAGGCCAGGTGTTGATTGTGGAACAGACCACCAACTACTCATATGTGAATTCAAGCTGAAGCTAAGGAAAACAAAATCAAATCCACAGGAACCAAAATATGACCTTGAGTCTATGGCACCTGAATTTTAGAACCATCTCAGAAACAGGTGTGAGGCCTTGAACACTAATGATCGAAGACCAGATGAGTTGTGGGAGGATATCAAGAGTATCATCTAGGAAGATTGCAGAAGGCCATTACAAAGACAGAGGAGGAAGAAAAGACCAGAATAGATGTCAAGAAGAGACTCTGGATATTGCACTAGAGCAAGCCAAAGCAGAGGGAAGAATTCAAGATATTAAAGAGCAGAACAGTAGATTTAAAAAGGCAGCATGGGATGACAGAGTAAAATATACGATGAAATGTGCAAGAGCTCAAAAGGGCTGAACTCGCTCAGCATTTCTTAAGCTCAAGGAACTGAAGAACAAATTCAAACCTTGAGTTGCTATACTTAAGGATGCTTTGGGCAGAATATGTAATGTTCCAGGAAGTATTATAAGAAGATGGAAAGGGTCACTGTACCAAAAGGAATTGGCAGACACAGAAGAATTTCATGAAACAAGATATGAGCAAGAGCCTATGGTGATGAAGGAAGAAGTTCAAGCTGTTTTGAAGGAATTTGCAAAAAAAAAAAAGCCTCCAGGAATTGATGGTATACCGCTTGACGTAATTAACAGAAGCTGCCCTAGATGTGTTCGCCAAGTTGTGTCAAGAAATCTGGAGGACAACCACTTGGCCACCTGACTGGAAGAGATCTATATTTCCCATTCCAAAGAAAGGTGATCCAACAGAGTGTGGAAATTATCGAACAATATCATTGATATCACTTGCAAGCAAGATTCTGCTGAAGATTATCCAAAAATGACTAGAACAGTACATCAACCGAGAACTGTCAGAGTGCAGGTTGGGTTTGGAAGGGGTTGTGGTACTAGGGATATTGTAGTTAATGTTAGATAAATCTTGGCTGAAAGCAAGGAGTACCAGAGGAATGTCTGTGTTTCATTGATTATGCAAAGGAGTTTGACTGTGTGGATCACAACAAACTGTGGCTGACTCTTAAGAATGGGAATCCCAGAACACTTGATATGCGAAACCTATACTTGGACTGGGAGGCAGTTATCAGAGCAGAGCAAGGAGACACTGCATGGTTCAAATTTGGGAAGAGCTTATGCCAGGGATAGGTCCTATCTCCATACCTTTTCAACCTGTGTGCAGAACAGATTATCTGGGAGGCTGGGCTGTAAGAGAAAAGTGTGGCATCAGGATTGGAGGAAGATTCATCAACAATCTGCATTATGCAGATGATACACCCTGCTTGCTGAAACTGAGGAGGACCCGAAGCACTTGCTGCAGAGGGTCAAGGACTGTAGTTTTCAATATGGATTGAGGCTCAGTATCAAGAAGACAAAGATTCTCACCACTGGACCAATTGGCAGCATCAGGATGGATGGTGAAGAGATTGAGACTGTTCACAGCTTTAGTTTGCTTGGCTCCACAATCAACACTCTTGACACCAGCAGCCAGGAAATTAAAAGACACATTGCGTTGGGAATGTCTGCTGTTAGGGACCTCCCCAAAGTACTGAAGAGCAGTGGTGTCACTCTGGAGACTAAGGTGCATTTGATACAGGCCATGGTTTTTGCAGTCATTTCCTGTGCGTCAGAGAGCTTGACAGTGACTACGGATGATAGAAGGAGAATTGATGCCTTGGAGCTATGGTGTTGGAGAACAGTATTGAATATACCATGGACTGCTAAGAAAATAGGTTCATCCTGGAGAGGTTTAAACGAGGCTGCTCCTTGGAGGCGAGGATTCTGAGGCTTAGTCTGACATACTTTGGACATGTTGCAAGAAGGGACCAGTCCCTTGGAGAAGGATGTCATGCTTGGGATGGTGGAGGGACAGCATAGGAGAGGAAGACCCTCTTTGAGGTTGATTGATTCAGTGACTGGGGCAATTGGGTAAGGTGTATCAGAGACAGTGAGATTGGCACAGGATAGAGCAGGGTTTAGGGCTGTTGTACATAGGGTTGCTGTGAGTTGCAGGCGACTCGACGGCACATAACAACAATAGGAACCTACCTTATAAAGGTACAAGTCTATGAATTCAATCTGAATCTTAAGTGTGGTAGAAAATGATGGGTCAAAACTGTTTTTAGGTGAAAATTCTAGTTAGAGTACAGTATTTTTAGTTTTGACATCTGTGCACATATTCTGTCTTATACACTTGAGAAACACTTATTCTAAACTGGATATACGAGTATAAAACAACATACCTGAAATGACTAGAGAAATCATCAGATTGTATGAAATGAATTTGTAGATACTGTTTGAATGCTAGGTAAGCTGTTTGCGGCTACAGATTTGTACAGGATATACCTGAATTCAATAGTTGATATAAATAAAATGTGTGTTCATTGATAACATTAGACTTCAGAAAAGGGAAAGAGTGGAAGAGCAGGAGCGTCTGGGATAAAAGAATACTTGAACTTTAAAAGAGGATAATTTAGATTGACAGAAAATGGGATATTCGTAGGGTGAAGTTCCAAGAGATGTCACTGGTATTAAGTTGGGTAAAGAACAAGATGTCCCTGCTGGGGAAGAGGGGCCTATCTTTTCATGAACTAAATGGGAGAGTGAATTTGGTTAAATGGGCTAAGTTGATCTGTTGCTTTGACTTTGTCAGCCTGATGTTTGGTGTCATATGAGAACTTTCAAGCTAAAAAGATTAAAAAAAGAGAGATTCATCTATGTCTTTATTTTTTCCCCTTGTCCTGTCAGTTTCACCATTAATAATGTATTTAAATTTTTCCATCCAAAATATTGTTATAAAGTTTGTACAAAGTTCAGAAGCCATCATTCAGAGTAAATTTTAAGTATTTGCTAATGTTTCTATTATTTCTTTGAGGTATGGGATCTTTAGGTTAAGTTATACACTGCAATGTCTATATTTTAGCACTGTGTTAATCTGTTTGCCAGTGTGGTTTGATACTATATATATATATATATATAATTTTTTTTTTACTTTATCCGTAGTATTCTTAGTATATAACAGAAATAGCAACATTGGAAATAATACCCTGTTTTTATCTCTTTAATTATAGTTTATTTCAGACCTCTCTTCCTCCTCTTTCCTTTTTCAGGTCAACAGGACATACTGCTGTGGCACCTACCGAGCAGGTCCTATGCGACAGATAAGTCTTGTTGGAGCAGTTGATGAAGAAGTTGGTGATTATTTCCCAGAGTTTCTTGATATGTTAGAAGAGTCACCATTTCTAAAAGTGAGTGTTGTTATTGTTAAAGTTCTGATCATTAAGAGGATACTAGGATACTTTTTCATGAAAGATTTTGATTAGGCTTATCTATTAGAATTAAATTATGTCTGCTGTTTTGGATGCAAATTGTGTATAAAATATTTATATAAAAGACTTAACCTCACTTAATAATTTTTGTTTTATAAATCACTGTATAAAGAAGCCTTTATGATACACAGCTTCATAGAGCTTTTTTTTTTTTGTAGGGGAGCATAACTTGTATAAATCATAAGAAAAAGAATTTTTAAATGTGACTAATTCGTCTCATTTTTAGATGACTTTGCCCTGGGGTACACTTTCCAGCCTTCGACTCCAGTGTAGGTCCCAGAGTGATGATGGGCCTATAATGTGGGTGAGGCCAGGAGAGCAGATGATCCCTACAGCAGATATGCCAAAGTCACCCTTCAAAAGACGAAGGTAAGCAAAAGCACTTTTTAAAAAAAATATTCTTTTTCTTTGTTGAACGTTTTTTCCCCTCCCCTCCTCCTCCCTCAACTCCCAAGGTACTCCTTGTTCTGGATTGTTGTCATACATATAATGCCTAATCATATATTCCTTTTGGACAGTTTTTCCGTCACTTGTTCTAATTATCTTTCCACTCTTTTCCCATTCTCTCCCCAGTATCCCCATATCTGTCCTGTTTTATACGAGCAGTGTTATGCTGTGTTTGTCCTTTTGTGACTGAGATAATTCACTCAGCATAATGTCCTCCCGGCTCCCCCATGTTGTGTAATGTTTTATGAGCTCATTGTTCTTCAGTGTTGTGTTATACATCATGTGAATGTACCATAGGTTTTCTATCCATTTGTTTGTTGATGGCCATTTAGGTTCCTGTCATCTCTTTGCTATTGTGAATAATGCCGCAGTAAACATGTATGTACCAGGTGATGTTAAATTGTCTGTGTATACCTGTTAGAGTTGTGGCTCTTTTTTTTTAGGGTATATTCCCAGTAGTGGAGTTTCTGGGTCCAATGGAATTTCCTTTTCAGACTTAATCAGAAGAACCAGAATGCGTTCCATAGTGGCTGTACCATTTTACATTCCCACCAGTAGTGAGTAAGAGTTCCAATCTCTCTACCACCTTGCCAGCATTTGTTGTTTGCTGCCCTCTTGCACTTTGCAATTGTTCTGGGATGAGATGATATCTAATAGTTGTTTGAATTTGCATCTCTCTGATAGCTAAGGATTTTGAACATTTCTTCATGTGTTTGTTTGCCATCTGAATGTCTTCTTTGGTGAAGTGTCTATTCATATCCTGTGTCTATTTTGTGATTGGATTGTTTACCTTTTTCATGTTGAGGGGCTGGAGTATTCTATAAATTTTAGATATAAATCCCTTGTCAGGTAAGTGATTGCTAAATATTTTTTTCCCGGTCTATGAGTTTCCTTTTTACCCTGTTGGAGGAATATATTTTTAATACGCATAGGGATTTGATTCTTAGATGATCCCATTCATCTATTTTATTATCTCCTGATTTTAGGTAAAAGCACATTTAAACAGTTAGTTTCTTATGAAAATGATTGTGACTTAAGAAGTGTTTTAAAACCATTTGTCTAGATTATTTTTAAGTCCCCAAGCTGAACTCAATTGCAGTTGAGTTTGTTTCAAAGTGACTTATAGGTCAGAGTAGAACTGTCCATAGGGTTTCCAAGGCTCTAATTGTTTTAGAAGGACTGACTCATCTTCCTCCCACTGTACCCTGAAGACTCCTAGATTATTTTAGGAACTCCCTAAATTAGTCATCTATTAGCCAATTCCTTAATCCATTTCACTCATTATCTAACAGTCTTCTTTAGAAGTTGTTAATTTTTTTCCCCCCCTCTCATCTTAAAACTTGAATTCTAACTGTCTCTAAGACAGAAGAACAAAATTCTCCTTTGGCTATAGCAGGACCTCTTTCTAAATGTATCTGCTAATCCTCTCTAGCAACATAGAATTCTGTTTCTAATCCATGGTTCTACACAGCTCTGTGTTTTAGCACTGTCTTTTTACTTGGAATGACAGCCTCTTCTCCCACTCTCCAACTGTTAAAGTTGATATATTTTCAGAATTTGGATTATCATCTCTCTTGGTAGAGCAGTGGTTAAACCTTCTGTTAGATTACTAGCTATTTCCTTCTGTCTACTCCCACACCCTTCTGTTCATTGATGATCTGATGATGTGTTTAATTTTCTATTAGATTTTGGGAGAATTCTGGTAGCATAGTGATAAAGAGTTGTGCTCCCAATCCAAAGGCATGCAGTTTGAATCCACAAGCTGCTCCATGGGAGAAAGTTGAGCATTCACCTCTGTGCGATTTACTGCCAGTGAAAACTTGTTAGAGGGTCAGCTGTGAGTTGCCTCTGACTTCATAGTCCTTAAAAACAGAATTTTTAAAAGAGGGATATGAATGGGTATTCTTGTCATTACAGAATTCCAGAGTGACGGCTGCATAGTGGAGTGGACTTGGGGGGAGGGATTGCATAACAATGAAAGTTTTTCTTTTCGAGAAGAGTGATTTGGGGGAGAGGGGGTGGGCAGGGAGAAAAGTACAACAGTGAATGACTGCAAACCCTATGTCTCTGTAAACTTTCATTTAAATTAATTAAAAAATGTAAAAAAACCCATATTTGATTTGAGCTTCTTGAGGACAGGGACTGCATCTTACTCATCTTTATCTTCATGGTACATCAGAAGTTTTTGTTTGCAGTGCTTGCTGAATGAAATCAAGAATGTAATCTATTATGCAGCATTTAAGCAATTCATATTTGGCTAACTTATTTTTTTAAAAAAATATAGAAAGCAAGTAGATTACCTCACTCTAGTGTGAAAATGTATCATTTGGTGAAGCAGAGAATGATTTCTGTTTGCTTAGGCTATGAAAGAGCAAGGAGCTCTCGGGGCATAGTGCTTAAGCTATCAACTGCTAACCAAAAGATTAGCAGTTTGTACCCAGCAGCCACTCTGCTTCACTGAAGATGATAGCCTTGGAAATCACATGGGGCAGTTTTATTTAGCTGATAGGGTTGCCATGAGCTGGGACCAATTAGGTGGTATTGGGTTTGGGTATGCAAAGAGCAACCCGGAGTAAGTCCAAAAAGTGAGTTTGAATGATTAGGCCTTAACCATACACGTCATATGAAAAAGCTAAGTGCTGAAATAAGCTTGAGTTCTTTACCAGAGCACCTCCCAGGCAGGCATCTTTCTGTCAGTGCTGCTATGGTGTTGAACAGGTTTCTCTAGCAGAGAGCTTCCTCACTAACATGGACTCACATCAAAGTCTCATAACCTACTTCCAAAAACTAAGCCGTGAAAACCCTTTGTAATGCATATGGCTGATCCATGACTTGTTATGAAGATGAGGCAGGACTGGTCACCATTTTGTTCCTTTGTGCATGGAATTGTCATCATGAATCAAGGGCAGCTAACAAAAGCAACACTTGAGATAAAAATGTGACAGTTCTTTGTAAACAATGATATAAATAAAACAGTGGTCACAGTAAATTGTGAGGTCAGTGCAGGACCAGTCAGTGTTTTGTTTTGTTGTACATGGGCTTGCTCTGAATTGGAACCAGGTTGATGGTACCTCACATCAGTGACATGAATGCAAGATGGTGGCTTGGTAAAACCTGGCAGTAAATTGGACTTCCTGCACAGTGCTAAAACCATCTGTGAATGACATTTAACCCTTTCTTCCCTCCCCCCCCTTATTAAAGTTTTCCTTCATTATTTTAATTTGGTTTCAGTGTTTTGGCTTTGTTTTCTGGTTTTTCCCTTTTGTAACACATTTTTATTTATATTTAATCAAAGCTATTGTGAATTTTTTCTTTTATCAACGGCTTAGAAAGGTCTTACTTTCTCTGGCATTATAAAATACTCACATACATTGTCTTTTAGTACATTTGTGAATTAAAATATAACCTATTTGGAATTAGTTTTCATGTATATATATAAGTAGATACCCCTACCCCCCACAACCAAGGAGTTAACCAACAGTACCAACATAATTTATTTAATAAACTGTCATTTCACTACTAGTCTGACACCCATTGAATTTTATTTCCCTTGAGATTACATATTCTCCAGTGAAGTGTTCGGACGTACTTTGAAGTAGAGTGAAATCTGAAATAGTTTAATGAGTGAATCAGAATTTAAACACTGGTTTCATCATCTTTTGTGAATGCAAGCTGCTGTAGATGAATCTGGTAAGGTCCGCCTGAGAAGTTGTTCATTTCTTGGGAATCCTGTTAATAAAGATGACTGTTTGGTTTATGAACTCTAAAGTTACTGATGTTTTAAATTAAATACACACACAAGGTTTTTAAAAACCACAATAATAGGTCTTGTAAAGAAAAATGTGTCCTACACAAAGAAACACATTTTTACTAGAGACAACGATTTCTAATTTTTAATGCCATCTTTTTAAAGATTTGACAGTAGTTTGGTTTCTTGATGTGATAGGTCAAGATTTCGTCTTTCTACTTGTTGTGTGTTGCCACACAAAAGAAGAGGTTACAGAATGTTGAAGTTCTTTTAGTTGGTGGTTTCCCCCCCTCCCCCCCCTTATATTCCTTCTAGGGAGATCTGGTGACTTAGTGGTAAGAGCTGTGCTGCAAGCCTAGACAACGCAGTACAAATCCACCAGCTGCTCTGTGGGGAGAAAGATTGGTAATCTCCTGTAGGGTCAACTTTGAATTTGTTGCAACTCAAAGGTACACAAGAAGAGCATTTCTTTACTTGATGGAGTACATAAACTTTTCTTAACCAGATTATTAGTGTTTTCTATCTTCTTACTCATTCTCTGAACTGCTTAACATCCATTCCTTCTAGTAATGATAGTACCCTGGCTTATCTCTTTGACTACTTTTAATTTTTGTACATGTTATTTTTTAATTTGTTCATTCTTGTACACTTATCTCTCTTCCCATCTCTCCCCATTCCTCCTTTTTTTAGAACTTTATTTTATTGTAATATTAACTAAACTTTACAGAAAAGTTGCATTTTCATTCATTCATTCACTGTTGCACATTTTTCTCCCTCCTCCCTTCCCCCCAGTTAATTTTTAAAAAATTTACAATTTTTTTCTTTTTTCTTTTGTTCACCTTTTCTTCTATGCCTTTCCTCCTCTCTTCCCCAGCTCACTGAGCAATGCACTCCTTGGACCAGATTGTTGTCATATGAATAATGCCTAATCATGTATTCCTTTTGGACAGTTCTTCCTCTCATGTGTTCTACAGTGTTTGTTATCTGTATACTTTTATCCTATTTCCCCACCCCATCCCATCAGTCTTTTTTTTTTGTCCTGTTTTATAACAATGGTGTTATACAGTTGTTTTGTGATTGAGATATTTAACTCAGCATAATGTTCCTGAGGCTCCCCATGTTGTGTAATGCTTTTCAGTGCTGCATAATATTCCATCGTGTGACTGAACCATAG